CTGGCGACTGATCTGCCTCGCCAGAGAAGAGCGCAATGATGGTGCCAACTTGGGCCAGTGAAGCAACGTCCTCCACAACTAGACTGAAGAACAAAAAAAGGAAAGCAACTTGTCTGTTCTCCTTCCCCCAATTCCCCAGCGCTGTTTCCATCCCCTAATTCCCCAATAAAAAAAATCTTTAAAAAAAAAAGATTGGGTGTGAAATGGAGGGTACTGGGGAGCCTGGGAGGTTGTGGAGCAGGGGAGGGACACAGATGGTATTTTGGATGAGTATCTATTGTGGGCAAGATGGGAAGCTAGGAGGAGGCTAGAGGCAAAAGCAAGGGTAGTGGGGATGGTGAGGAGTGGGGGGAGAGGGAACAGGAGAGCAATTCTGTGGGGAGAAAGTTGGGGGAGGAGGAAGGAAGAGGGGGATATTTGGGGGACAGGGATGGTGGGATTGTCACACAGACGATGGCCTGAGAACTAGAGCAGGATCTAGGGGTAGCCCCTGAGATTGGTTTGCCAACCGTCCCAATCCAAGAAGCCTGGGGATGTGGGCTGGGGGTACCCTGAAAACTGAGAGGAAGGGGCTGGGGATGAGGAGCCAAGGTGAGGCCTGAAAACTGGCTGCGGCATTTAGCGGAGGGAGGTGATCTTCGTGGAGGAGACCCAGGCCTTTGGGTGGACCGTGGAGTGAGTATGAAAGTAGAGAGAGATCCTTCTGAAATCTTGGCTTTGCAGGCAGAGAGACACACACAGAGAAAGAGACAGACACAGTAAGGGATAGGTACATGCACACCCAGAAAAGGGGTGACCAGGCCCTGGAGGAGCTGGGGCCAACTGCAGGTGCAAGGCGCCTTAGACAAGGACACAGCTGTGGCTCCCATTGTCCCAGGGGGGAGGCAGGGCAAGGCCCCAGATGCCCTGCGCGCAGGCCAGAGGTGCAGCTAGGGCTTCCTCGGGGCTCTTCCAGGCCTCAGCTGCCCATCTGCATGGCAGGACCTGTGGCCAGGGGGAGCCAGGCCTGTGGGGTGGGCAGATAATTCCCCTAATTGCTCCATCACTTTAAAATGCTAACGAGCTACTCTGTTCAGGGCTTTGGCGATCTAGCAGGATGTGGCTGAAGGTGCAGACGCTGAGTCAGTTTAAAAGGCCAGATTAGGGGCGGGGCCCAAGGACAGGCAGCGCCCTCAGCTGATTTAGGCAGGGGCAGGGCAGGCCACTCTGTCCCTCTGGCCTCCCACCCTTCATTTCTCCCCCAGGAAGAATCACTGAACTTATTCAGGTGCTGGTGGGGAAACTGAGGCCAGGAGGTGGGCCGAGCTTCAGTGGGCACCTCAGGAGGTCAGCATGACCTTGGAGTATTTCTAAGCCAGGCTCAACTCAGACAGGGCTGGGTCGGCTGAGGTGGGAGTGCACTCGCGGGCCTGGTGTCCCTTCCCCAGCTTGGGGGGTCCTGGAGTGGATGGTGCTCAGACTGGCCCAAGACCCCTTCCAGGCAGCCTAGAGACTGTCTGCATGGGAACATCAACTGAGATGGTGTTGTTGACACGGCAGTAACTGAGCACCAACTGTGTATGCTCAGCCCTTCACTGGTGTGAGCCTCAGGGTTCTTGCAACCCCGAAAGATGCCAACCCTCCAGTTTGTCTGGGACTGCACTGGGGTCACACAGCTAGAGGGCAAGTCAGGATTCAAACCTGGGGAGCAAGCCTGGAACCCAGTCCCTCACCAGAATGAACAAGAGGGGCGGGTCTTCAAGACAGGCTGCTCAACCAGTTTTTCTTTTCTTAAAGATTTTATTGGGGAATTAGGGGATGGAAACAGCGTTGGGGAATTGGGGAAGGGGAACAGACAAGTTGCTGTCCTTTTGTTCCTCAGTCCAGCTGTGGAGGACGTTGCCTCACTGGCCCATCCATGTTGGCACTATGATCTGTGCTCTTCCCAGCTGAGGCAGATCCATCGCCGGCCATTGGACGGCCACTCACGGCAGCTCACGCTGGCTGCCAGTCACTCACGGTAGCTTACAGCAGCCCACTGCAGCAGGGGCTGCAGCCTACACCGTCGCCGGCGACTCATGGCAGCCCAGCTCCAGGTCGAACCGCTGTTCACCATCTTAGCTGTAGAGGGCGCAGCGTCACTGGTCCACGTGGGATCCAAACCAGCAGCCCTGCTGCTCAGAGCTGGCGTCCCAAGCCAACTCTTAACCAACGGGCCTCTCAGCCAGCCCCCAAAGCCAGTTTTTCTTGAGTCTTCCCTGAAGTCACTGGGTTAGGCTGTTGGGTTGTGACAGATGGAGGATGTGGGTGGCCCCAGAGGAGCATCCCCAGGCAGGGACACAGCTGCAGTGGCAGACCCTCCCTGGGCTCCTGTATGCCTGCTCCTGCTCTGAGGGGCAAGTCTCCCATGATCCTGAGCCTGGAACCCAGAGAATTGGGTACCGACCCAAGGGTTGGGACTTTGAGGGTTGAATATGGCACCCACAGATGGACTCAATGGGGACCTGTGGGTGATGGCAAGTGGCTCCATGGAGTGGCTGTGATCCCTGGCCTGGAGCGTCTCCTGGCTCCATCCAGGTGTCTGTATCCCCACAGTGGCTGTCAATGGGTCCCAGCTGGGCAGACTCCTCAGTGGGCAGATGACTAGCAGGTGGATCACTCCAGGCTGAGTGATGGGGGTGGGGAGGGTGGGCGGTATGGATGCCCTGGGCTGAGAGGACGCCAGGGGATGCAGAGAGAGACTCAGATGCCCCCAGTCCTTGGAACCGGTCTTTATCCAGGCACCAATCCTTCTCCTCCCCAGGTCTGTTGTGTCCAAGGGCTGCCCCAAGCCCCCCATGTGGGCCTGTACTTGTGCTCTGAGCTAGGTGGGCAGCTTGCTGGCCCTGACCTTCCTCAGGCCTGGCCCATGCCCCCACCCATCAAGAGTCCCCCACTCTCTTTGTCCTCTGGGGCCTACAGCCCCCGCTGGGTAGGGTCAGGGGTCCTGGCCACAGGGCAAGGTGGAGCCATCAGCATCCTGTCCGTCAACAGGGCCAGTGGCTCCCGCACTGCGCAGCTCCCGGGCCAGCTTCTCGGCCAGTTTTCGAAAGGGTGGCCGGCGGGCAGGCTCTGCCTCCCAGCAGCTGCTCATAAGGGTGTGGACAGGGCCCGGGCAGCCCGCAGGGGGCTCCATGCGGTACCCCTTCTCCACGGCCTCTGTCACTTCCTTCAGCGACTACGGGCAGAGGGCATACCGGTGTGGGCTGGGGGTTAGGGCCACAGCCCCAAACCCGCATGGAACCCAGTGCCTCCCCTCCCCCAGACCACGCTCACCATCTTGGGGTATGGAGCCCGGCCATATGAGAAGACCTCCCACAGCAGCACCCCGAAACTCCAGACATCGGACTTGCTGGAGAATTTCTGTGGGCCCAAGACTAGGGTGAGGAAGGACCCCTCAGGGTTTCTGCTCCAGCTCCTACTTCCTCCGGGAAGTCCCCCCAGATTGACCTTCACTCTCTGGTCTCTTCTAATAGCCTCTACTCCCTGAGTTTCCCAACCCCCAACTGAGTGGAGCTCAGACTCAGTGCATGAAGGAGTTTGGTTATTCTTGCCCTCAGCTCTGAGCCCAGAAATGGGGAAACTGAGGCCCAGACAGGGTCACACATAGGAGAGGCCAGATAGGGGCTAAAAAGAACAACTGTGGGCAAATGGTCACTGGGGAGGCAGAGCCATTTCCCTTGGAGGTTCAGAGATACCAAGACACATGCCCAGGGTCACACAGTGGAGCTGGGGCTCCAAGGGACCTGGAGATAGAGGAGCGCTCACCCCATGTTTGAGTGCCTCGGGCGCTGTCCACTTGACGGGCAGCCGGCTGGAGTCCAGCCCCTTTCGCTCAGCTTTGGCCAGGCCGAAGTCACTAACCTTGGCCACCAGGTCTTCAGAAATGAGGATGTTGCGGGCAGCAAGGTCTCGGTGCACCAGCTTCTTGCTCTCCAGGTATTCCATGCCCTCGGCCACATGCCTGGGGAGAGGCAGGGGCACCCGGGCTGTGGTGACTGGGTGGCAAACTCCCAAGGCCAGGTTTCTACCTGCTCTGTGCCTCCATTTCCCCTTGACCTTGAAAAGCCTCCTCCCCTTTCCCCAGGGGTCCCCACTCACAAGGAAAACTGCAGGAGCTGAGGGGTGTTTACAAGGGCCCGGCCCCGAGTCCGTAGAAAGTTCACCAGGTTGCCCTGTGGGGAGAACAGGGGGCTGGGGTTCGAGGCCTCCTTGGCTGCCCCCAGCCCCGCCTGCACCTGGGCCCCACTGCACCTTGCTCACGTGCTCCATGACGATGTAGAGCCCCTGGTGCAGGATCACGCCCAGCAGACGCACCAGGTTCTTATGCTGCATCTTCCTGGGGGGGGGGAGGCGAATCTGGGGTGAGAGTGCAGCCAAAATCCCTGACCCCAAGGTGCCTGATCCCCACCTGGGACTCACGTCATGACCGCTGTCTCATCNGGGGGGGGGCGGGGGGGGCAGCAGAGGAGCTCTCAGCACCTGCTGGGTCTGGGGTAAGATGTGGAGGGACTTTTCCCTTCATGGGGTCCTGCATTCGTTCTGCCTCCCCCCAGTCTCTCTCGGTCAATCTCGGGTTATCTCACTCTGTCTCTGTCTCCACTTCCTTCTATGATTCTTTTTCTGTATGTGTGTCTCTGTCCCCCCATCTCGATTTTCTCTCCCTCTCCAGCTCTCCCTGGCTGCTCTATCTCCCTACATCTGTTTCTGTCTGTCCATCTCCCTCTGTATCTAGGACCCCCAGGAAGGTAGGATGGGATACTGTCCCCATGGAACGCTTCCTTACCCTCAAGTCCTCTGCCCTCGGGGACTCTCTGCACCCCCCAGCTTCCCGGGCATGCCCACCTTGCCCACCTGCCCAGTGCTCACCGCCCCCAGCAGCCCCTCATCAGCCCAGGTATCCACAGGGCTCCTGCCCCAGCAGGCTCAGTGCCTTGTCTGCTGCTGGCCTGGCCCAGCCAGATCCGAGGAGGTGGGTTCTGGTGGGGGAGGATTAGCACAAGGTGATTAATTGAGACAGCCCCTACTGCCCAGCACTAGCTGCCCTGAGCTATGGAGGGAGGGTTGGGCAGGTGGAGGGCTGGGGGGTTGGGGGGACTGTCAGCCTTGGTCCACCTCCCCTCACAGTAGGACACCAAGGGTCTCCCTGTCTCGGGGCCTGTTTTCCTGGCTGTAAAAAGGGCAGCACCAGGACCTATCGCATAGGGCTCTCATGGGACTCAAAGAGGCGATGAAAGAAAGGGCATCGCATAGTGATTGGCATACAGTGACTACTCAGTGAATGTCTGCTGTTACTGTTTTTATCAATGGGTCCAGAAAAAACCTCTTAGACTCATGGATGTCAGTGGAGCTGGGGAAGCAGAAGTCCTGAGAGGTGAAGGCAATTTTAGTTTGCTCTTCTGGATATTGAACACAGCATGGAATAAGGGGCATTTTAGCTGTTTTTTTTAAATTTTTTTATTGGGGAACAGCCATGATCATTGGTTACACATTGCTTTCATGCTACAGTGACATAGGGAGGGCGCAGCTCACAGTGGCCTATGCAGGGATTGAATCGACAAACGATGTTATCAGCACGATGCTCTAACTAACTGAGCTAACCGGTCACCCCCTTAGCTGGGTTTTGAAGTATGAATAGAAGTTCACTCTTCGCATACTCAATAAACATTTATTGAGCACTTACTGTATACCAGTGAACAAAACCGACACAAATCTTGGAGCTGCCATCCTAGTTGAGGAGACAGAGACTAAACAACTATGTAAGTAAAATATAGTATGTCAGGTTGTCCAAGGTTTAGTGAGAAAACTCAAGCAGGGAGGAAAGGGGGTGGGGTGGGTTCTTTTAAGGAAAGTGATCAGAATGGAGGATGGAGGGCAAGGCTTCAAATTCTGGACAAGATTGGGTGTGAGGGCCAGCCGAGTGGCGCATTGGTTAAGAGCTGGCTTGGGACGCCAGAGGGCCCCGGTTCGGATCCCACATGAAGGCCAGTGACACTGCCCTCTACAGCTAAGATGCTGAACAACAGCTCAACCTGGAGCTGGGCTGCAGTGAGTCACTGGCAACA